GCGTAAAAGTAAAAAAAAAGTTTGTTCATCGTTATGCTAAAATCGTTCATATTACATTAGAGAGGTTGAGATTTCATACGTGTACGTGTACGGGTACGTCTAGTAGGGGAATTACCTAAATTTCTTGCGTATTACGTCACCAGTTTTGGCGTTGATAAGTTTACACGTTCCTACAACTTGTAAAAAGGCATCTACACGTAGGTGTAAACTTGTAGCTTTTTCAATAAAAACTAGTCAATTTATGTGTGAAACCGTTATTGTTGTTAATTATTTAGGATGTTAAGTTTCATGAACACTTATTTTAACCATGTTTTGTTCACTAACTAAAGTCAAACTAATGTCACAAAACTACTAAATAGTTGAAACAGAGACATCGATTACAGTCTACACGTTCACGTTACACGTCTTTAAAATCTCAACAGACAAATTACAAAAAACGTGTACGTGTATGTCAAAGTTTGTACACACGTACACGTACGCGTACACGTTTAGAAACTCAACCTCTCTATTATAAAATTTTTTACCTTTGCCAAATTACGTGGATTTTTTATGACTGTTACGTAATACTAACAAGGGAGCTGACGTCATTAACACAGAATTGAAATGTCCCTGTGTTCGTTATTTAGTAATTCATAAAATCATTACAATAAAAAATTATCTTTATAGGCTATTGCTTATCATTAAAAGAATATTCAATGCATATTGATACTTGTAAGCAAAAGTTCTGGCGTATCAACTGCACAATTTTGACACAGTTCTGGCAGTAAGAGGGTTAATTAGCCGACCTGTTTTTTTTTATTCCTATAAAGCAGACTTTATTCAAAAACGGTTGTGGCCTTCAATTCAACATTAAGACATATCAACTACTATCTATGAACAATAGTATACACTTATCCACTGGCTGTGAGAGGGATAGCTCTTTTATCAAACCCGGGACAGGAACTATTCCCCGAGGGCTTGCCCGAAGGGAATAGTTCCTGTCAAGGGTTTGATGAAAGAGCTATCCCACTCACAGCTTATGGATAAGTGTTTTATTATACTGATGTATATCATAATTTCTGAGGGTTTGTTTTACCTGATACTACAGTCTCATAGGCAAAACATGAAAAGAATAATTATAATAGTTTTGAACAAGTATTTGGAATAAGATAACACTGCTAGAATGAGCTGAAATCTTGATGACGTCACAATGCTACTGAAGTCAGGATGACATCATCAGTCTATAGATTGATTATAGGAAATCAAAACTGGCGGCAAAAATTGCATGAAAATTTTCCGAGGGTTGGATAGCAAAAACTATACCCCGGGGTATAGCTTTGCTATGCGTGGAAATTTTCAGACTATCAAAGATAGTTATTTTACCTTCTTAACTTTATATAGGAACATTTTAACAGAAGTATAATAATTCCTTCCATTCTCCTTACGTCGCGGGTTTGAATCCCACTGTGGGACGTGGAGACCGGTCCTTCGGATGAGACCGTATAAACCGAGGTCCCGTGTCGCAGTAGGTGTTGGCACGAAAAAGATCCCTCACTGCTCAATGGCCGTAAGTGCCGAGTATAGGTCAAAATTTGCAGCTCTCCATCGGCAAGTGGTGGCGTCTCCATATGAGTGAAAAATTCTCGAGAGGGACGTTAAACAACATACAAACAAACAAACAAACTTCCATTCATGCGTCAACTGGATATATCCCAGTGAACTCGAAATAAGACACTACCAGAGTCCAGCACATCTATTTCATATTTGAAACTATATATTGACTATAGACACTAATGACCAACTAACAATTAAACTGTGACAAAGAGATGCCTTCAGTTTTTTCATCGTCAGCTTCCCTTATTTATGTAGTAATATCTCACTATCAGCTGGTGTTTATGTCTCCCAACCGATTAGATACGCAAGATCATGCTCTGAGTAGGATCAATTTTTAAACCGAAGTAAACTTTTCTCATACAAATAAGTTGATGTTACAAGGATTTAACCCCGTTTAAGGTAAACTTTACGCAAATTTTATGGTCGTTACAAAAATCTTGTTTGTAAATGAAATATAGAGATATCGAAGAGAAATCAAGCTCAAAAATCCATTGAAACAATACAGATCGGGAGCAGAGCAAACATGGACGTCTAAAAACAGAGGTGGGATCAGGTGCCATGGAGAAGTAAGCATTCCCTGTCGATCCATAACGCCTGCCGTGTGCTCATTGTCATGATCGGGAAAACGGAAAAATCCATAGACAGTTCAGTGTTAAAATAATGGCCTAACAATTAGTATAAAAACGTCAGTCAGTATTCGACTAAATGGTAGATAATAATGAATTTTAAAACGTGTTACATGAATAACGAATTTAATTTGTTATAACAAATTAAATTAATTAAAACGAATTCTTTACTTTGTTATAATGAATTAAATTCGTTAAAACGAATTCGACAAATCGTTGTATCGAATTCATATACCGGTAAATTTTCTACAGCCCCGATTATTGAGTTTGATTACACGAATTTAATAATTCGTTAAAACAAATTTTTGAATTTGTTTAAACAAATTTAATTCATTATAAGAAATTTTAGAATTCGTTCAAACGAATTTAATTCGTAATAACATTTTTTTACAATTCGTTATAACGAATTCAATTAATTTGTTATAACAAATTCAATTCGTTATAACGAATTCAAAGAAATTGTTATATCGAATTAAAATCGTTATAACAAATTCGACAATTCGTTATATTATACTTTCATGTAAATTAGTTGAATCTGATTTGTCGAAAGACATTTGTTAGAAACACTATTACCCGCTGAATAATGAAGCCACGCCCTCCAGCGTAGCAACAGTTAACATTGCTTGACGACGGGTGATATTCCAAAACATATTGACTGCGCAGAATTTATGCTCGCAAGTTTCACTGTAATATGTTTTTGTATAAAACATTCAGTATAATATAATGAATATATTTATTCATATACAAATATATATTTATATGAATAAGGATGCGCCTTGGTTGACAATAGTTTTCTTGGGATGAAAATTTTCAATGTTACACTCAACTACATGTAGTATTTATATAATATCGAATTCAAAAATATTTTTGATAGGTCCTAAATGAGCTTCCATACAGTAAATACTTTATTTCATCATAAAAAATGACAAAACACCAAATCTGTGATCTGTCCTTCAGTAAAACTATATCTTTATACTGATTTGCACATAAACATTTGCAAATTTTCGTATTTTTCTCTATATAAACCTTTATGGAATCTGCCGCCATTATAGCTCCAGTATGGTCAATTTGCAAATGAACAGAATGAAACTATTTTTTCATATCTAAAAAAAAAAATCAGACCTCACATTTACATATTGGGTGCATGACTAAGTTATATTCCTATTAAACTATACAAGCATGAATGGTGGAGCCTGGGCTCAAATGCTCACCTTCTTGAAAGATACTCAATTGAATATTGCCAAATATTTCCCCTTCAGGTCGATTTAAAAAGGTTAAAATAAAAATTGAAACTCAAAGCAAGTATAATTGGAAAGCATAATGTGACAAAATTAGGGATGTCAATTTTCGCAATGATTCATATTCGAATATTCAATGAAAGTATTCGAATATATTCGAATATTCGATAAAATAAATTAAATCTTTTTATTTTTAAATTGCAACATCCTAGCTACTCTCATGAAAGGTTTAGCGCAAGATATTGGAAGTAAAATTGTATGAAGACTTTTGTAGTTGTACAATAAGAAATTTGATATTTGTCAATGTTTGAAATAAATAATTGATTTAAATATAGAAAAGTATAATTTTAACAAATGAAACATGTGTATTTATAGTACCTCCAACTGAGGAACCAGTCGTCTTGCCAAACGCAAGATAATCGTAACGGTATACTGTTCAGATTTCAGTATTTGTAATAAATTACAATTATCTGCCTAATTAGAGATATAATTATAATCTTTGATACAATGTTTTTAAAATATAAACAAATATTTCCAACGACAATTTTCCTACATAATTAACTAATTTCCCGATAATGAATATGAAATTCAGGATTATGTACAACCCAATATATAATCATTTATTCTGAAATTGAGCCCTTTACAATATTAATTACAGTCTAATTCTATTGAACATTCATTTGAATGATCAATTAAATTTGTTTTGATAAGTATACGCTTCACGTCTTTTAGACATTCTAAGAAGGTTTTCATTTTGTTGTCCTCGATTCTAGATCCCATCGCATTTAACTAATAAAACTATGCAAGTACGTTTTGTATTATACATAAAGCATTATTGTACAATTCTTTAACACCTTACTCAAAACAAATTACATGTAATTTAGTAAATCTAAAAGATAAGAAAGTAGTGAAAGAAATCAGGCGATCGAAATTAATCGCTAGTAAATTAAACAGGGATAATTCCAGCACTGTTCTAACCAAACTTTATTAATCACAGTACTTCTTTTTATGAAATCTGAAAAAACACCGAATATTCGAATCTTAAATTCATATTCGAATATCAACTCATCCCTACACAAAATATAATTCGAGCTTCATATGGGATTTCTGCATAGGGCTGGAAAGGATAATGATGAAGCATGCTTTAATCCGCTATTTTTATACTTGTGAGAGGTTACTCCAGGGTATCTCGTCAAGAAAAGTGCATTGAGGCAGAGGGAGCGGACATTGAGGAACAATGACGTTGAACTCAAAGGCGATAGGGCCTGGTGACTATATATTTTTCCTTATCAAAATAATTTGCCAAAAAAAAGATTTCAAGCGAATCTGCTTAAAATAATTGGGAAAGCAAAAGTTTTGCAAGCACATGAGTATGATTATGCATTACGTGTATGTTAATAAGTGATGGAAACAAAAATATATGTAGCCCAGTGAGAGCAAATGAGGAAGAAACAATAGTAATCATGGAGATAAATGAATCAGTTATCAATATCCAGATCATGTCCTTCCATACCTCTTACTTATAGTCCCTTTTTTCTTTTTCATGGGCTTAACATTTTTATTGAATTACTCAGTTGGAACAATGTTCTCCTTGTCATTGCTAAGAACATATTGTGTACTGGTACCCGGTTCTTCTTCTTCCAGAACTAGTTCTTCTGGATGACGTTCTAGAGTGGGCGCATACACTCTTTCATCCTTTTTCTTGCTGGCCCCTGGATGGGTCTCAATAAAGGCTTTATTAAAAATACCATGTTCACAATAATCATCACCTTCATATAAGATGTTGTGTTTAGTTCCGTACTCATGAAACTCATTGTTATACTTCAGAATCTCCTCTTTATCTGAATTAGATTCCTGTAGACGAAGACTTGGTGTCGGGGATACCTCGTACTTAAATATTCGTTTCTTTTCCCGCTGTTTTCTATTTAAATACAATGGAAAATTTAAGAGTAAAAAAGTAAATAATCAACAGATGTATAAAACATGTACCTTTACAACAAAATATATTGACATTGAAACAGATGAACTTACCTGATGCATACTAAGATAAGTATAATGAAGGAAAGGAGGACGACTGCTAGAACGAGGGGGATGATTATTTCCACTAAAAAAGAAAACCTCTTGAAAATCCTCAACCACTTAGTTTAATGTGAAGATATTACACATTCATGTTAAAAACTGAAATCAGATTGGTTAAGATACAATTTACCAATTTGTTTCGATATACTCAATAAGAAATACTCTCTGTGTAGAGACAATGAACATAAGTGATATTTCATTTTGGAATTTCCCCACATTTTTATTGATTTCTGAATAGAAGATTAACTTTGACGTAATAATACTCTCGAGACTCCTCCCCCCCCCCCCCCCCCCCCAAAAAAAAAAAAAAAAAAAAACTGACGCCATAATAAACCATGACTACACGAACGAGTATAAGGCAGTGGAAAGATTCCTTAGCACTACCGATGCCGAACAACTTTTAGGGGATCGAAATGGCAAAATACATCTCATGTTTTCTCGATGTAGGTGAAAACTATTTAGAAGACAGGACCATTACGGTAGCTATCGGTAGAGGGCTCGCTCGGAATGTCTTGGGTTCAACTCTCGGCTGCGACAGACTTCAGTCGACAAAGAAATAGGTACAGCAACTGTTTCTTTGCCAAGCGCTCGGTACTTTAAAGTGAAATTTGAGTCTTTCGGATGACACCTTAAAAAACTTAGGCCATTCGCTCGCGTTGTGCAGTGGTTAGAGCGTTTACTATAGAGTCGCAGAATAAGGTGTTAGTCCTTACGTTCGAATCCCACTCCGGGACGTGGAGACTGGTCCTTCGGATGAGAACGTATAAACCGAGGTTCCGTGTCGCAGTAGGTACTGGCACGAAAAAGATCCCTCAATGCTTCAATGGCCATGAGTGCCGAGGTCTAAAATTTGTAGCCTTCCACCGGCAAGTGGTGGCGTCTCAATATGAGTGAAAAATTCTCGAAAGGGACGTTAAACAAGCAAACAAACAAAAATCGAGGTCCTGTGTGACAGGAGGCGTAACCGTTGACGCGATCGCTCAATGGCCCTGAGTGCCGAGTAAAGGTCTAAATTTGAAGCTCTTCACGATGTATGGTGACGTCTCTATATGAGTGAATTCTTGAATTGAACGTAAATAACATACAATCAAAGAATCGCTCGGCATAACTGGAAAGTTCTAATCCGAACTGAGGAAGAGAGATAGTCTTATTTGAAATATTCCCTTATTTCATACGAGAGGAACTGCTAAAATGTGCCATGAAATGCAAAAGTGTGTGTAAGGAATTTGTTTTCAAAGAGTTGTTGAATGTTCATGAATGAAAACAAAAACATTTTTTAATTTGTTTAAATTTTCATTAAACAAAACAATTATTACTGTGTGGTCGGGCAAATTGATTTTCATTGATTTTGCTTTGCCTCGGACTAGAATGACGCTCTGTTATTTGGTAACAGACGTCATATACCTGCCATCACTATTTCTTAACTTCTGACGGTGAGTAGCAAAATTTGAACGGTAACATGGCGGATAAAACGGCGTTATATCATTCAAATTTTAAAAATTATGCACTTTATTAAAAGTGCATTGGTCTACTCTGATGACAATGGGCTTTCCTTGAGAGACTTATTACCTTTGACTCATTGAAAAGACGACGGAGTGTGAGAACACTGAGAGCATACAGATGGCTGAGCAATTGTTCGAAGATCGTTGAGAGCTAGTCAATTTAATGTAAATGGGGTTTTAGTAGTTAAAAGCACAAAGAGAGACAATTCTTAAGACTCTCAGCAATTACATAAAGAAAAGCGTTGTTCTCCCTCATAGCAACCTGCTGTACAACAGTCGCCCGAACAACTTTATCCTCCGAAGTAAAGATCATTCAGCAAAATGACGTGCAGATAAAACTCAGCCTTTGCATCTTAACAAATCTTGCAAAAATTGTATTTTTAGATATTCGGTCGAACTGCGTTACGTAAATGTGTTTATTGGTGTTTTCTCAGCCGAAACCTTTGTCAATTTTTGGTTGTTTTTGTATGTTTATTTCTTTTGTTTTTGTTTGGCTTTTTGGTTTTTTTTATACTAATCATAAAATGCAAGATGAACATTATTAAACACATACAAATTAAACTGTAATTATTCTTTTTGTCTCTTATTTGCCCCAAAGAAAATAATTTAACAATTGTATCCGTTCAATTCAGTCACTCAATAGAAATATTGAAGAAAAAAAACAAACAAACAAAACAAAAACACAAAAACCAAACAAAAAAAAAAACAAAAACAAAAACAAACAAGCTGTGTTTGTGAAACACTGATGCCCCCGTATGGCAGCTTATGGCGAAGGTTAAAGTTTCTCAAATGCAAATCAAAATCCAGGCCAAAAGATAAAAAATATTAAATTTGAGAGCCCTAGCTGCAACTGTTCAAAAGTTATGGCCAAGGTTAAATTTTTTTTAAAAGTAAGTAAATCATCAAGGTCAAGGTCAAAGTTGTTGGTATCCAAAGGAAGGTCTTGTCACAAGGATTACATATGTAAAGTATGAAAGCCCTAGCACCAACCATTCAGAAGTTATGGCCAAGGTTAAAGTTTTTCAAAAGTAGGTCAAACTCCTATGTCAAGGTCAAAGGGTCAAGGTGGTTGGTATCCAAAGGAAGGTCTTGTCACAAGGATTACATATGTGAAGTATGAAAGCCCTAGCACCAACCATTCAAAAGTTATGGCCAAGGTTAAAGTTTTTCAAAAGTAGGTCAAACTCCTAGGTCAAGGTCAAAGGGTCAAAGAGGTTGATATCCAGAGGAAGGTCTTGTCACAAGAAATACACATGTGAAGTTTGAAACCCCAAGCACCAACTGTTCAAAAGTTGTGGCCAAGGTTAAAGTTTTTCAAAAGTAGGTCAAACTCCAAGGTCAAGGTCAAAAGATCAAAGTTGTTGGTATCCAAAGGAAGGCCTTGTCACAAAGAATACACATGTGAAGTTTGAAACCCCAAACACCAACTATTCAGAAGTTATGGCCAAGGTTAAAGTCTCATAAAATTTTGCAAAAGTGGGTCAAACTCCAAGGTCAAAAGGTCAAATACGATGGTACCCAAAGAAAGGTCTTGTCACAAGAAATACAAATGTGAAATATGAAAGTCATAGCTCCAACCAATCAAAAGTTATGGGCAAGGTCAAAGTTGACAACAGACAGACAGACAAACAGATAAACAGACAAACAGACAGACAGGACAAAAACAATATACCCCCGGGATCTTTCGATCCGGGGGCATAAAAAAACAAAACAAAACCAAACCAAAAAACAACAAAAAACAAGTTTGGCAACTTATAATGAGGGTTAAACTTTCTCAAATGCAAATCATGGAAAAGGTTAAAATTTTTCAAAAGTAATTCAAACATTAAGGTCAAAGTCAAATGGTCAAAATTAATGTGCCCAAGGAAAGGCCTTCTTTTCACAAGAAATACACATGTGAAGTATGAAAGCCTTTGGCCAAGGTGAAAGTTTTTCAAAAGTAGGACAAATTCCAAGGTCAAGGTCAAAGGGTCAAAGTTGTCGGTATCCAAAGTAAGGTCTTGTCACAAGGATTACATATGTGAAGTATGAAAGTCTTAGCACCAACTATTCAATTGTTATTGCGAAGGTTAAAGTTTTCCAAAAGTATGTAAAACTCCAATATCAAGGTCAATGTGCTACAATTGTTGGTATCCAGAGGAAGGTTTTGTCACAAGAAATACACATATGCAGTATGAAAGCCCTAGCACCAACTATTCAAAAGTTATGGCCAAGATTAAAGTTTTCCAAAAGTAGGTCAAACTCCTAGGTCAAGGTCAAAGCGTCAAAGTTGTTGGTATCCAAAGGAAAGTCTTGTCACAAGGATTACACATGTGAAGTACATGTATGAAAGCCGTAGCACCAATTGTTCAAAAGTTATGGCCAAGGTTAAAGTTGGTTTAAGTTTTGCAAAACTGGGTTAAACTCAAAGATCAAGGTCAAAAGGTCAAATATGATGGTACCCAAAGAAAAGTTTTGTCACAAGGTATACACATGTGAAATATGAAAGTAATAGCTCCAACCAATCAAAAGTTATGGGCAATGTTAAAGTTTTTGCGGACAAACGACAAACAGATAGACAAACAGACAGACGGACAAACAGGGCAAAAACTATATACCCCCGAATCTTTGAATACGGGGGCATAAAAATTAATAACAACCTCGCAAGTGCGAAGTGCATATGCTTTTCTGTGATGTCGATATACACTTCTGATTGACCTCATAAAAGGCTGTTTTATTATTTAAAAGTATTGGAGAAATATTTTCTTTGCAACTATAATAGAAATACTTTGATATGGTAAGTTGAGAAGTCGAAATATTGATGACGTTTGGCTTGTTGCTTGTTGTTGCGTATGCTATTGTTTTAATTTGTTGTCTTAGTTTTTAGTAATTGTTACAAACCTCCAAAAATACTTTTAATTTTTTACAAGTTTACCATATACACAACAGATATTAGTCTAAAATACATGTCTTTGTAAAAGTTATGATATATATTATTGTAACATTTCATGATTTGTACCTTGATCTTTAATGGAGAGAACTTATATAGGCCATTTTGCCTGCTGTTCAATCCATATTCATTGTGTATACATTTATGTATATCATGAATAAAATACTTCTTAAACTAAACTAGTTTTTAGTAATTGTTACAAACCTCCAAAAATACTTCTAATTTTTTACAAGTTTACCATATACACAACAGATATTCCGTCTTTTTTTTGAAAAGTGTTAACAAATCTTTTCGGCTGATAGAATACATACATGTTAGGCCAGAACTTGTCTCTGTTTTGTTTATAGTCGTGATCTCTAAACGCTGATCAGTGGTCAGCCCTGCTGAAGGATTTACATTCTCTGGTGAAGGTGAGACCTTCTCTGACGTTAAACCATAAGGACTGCCGTGTTTAGTTGGATTAGTTGTAACAGCTGTAAGACTAACAGACGCAATAGTTAGTAGAGTGAGTGACGACACGTGTGACTTTGTTCCTGGTTTATGAGTTACAGTTGTTGTACCCCTTACAGTACTAACTACAGACTCTGTGGAGTGTCCAGTAGAGCCTGACGACTGTTCCGGAGAACCAGATCCAGAGGAGGGTATGGCTTCTGAGGCACTAATCATTGGTGAAATAGTGGTAAAAGTCGACAACGGTCTTGTTTCTAATCGATCTGTAGGAATTATAAAGGTAGTGGACAATGGAGAGGAGGCGATAGCGGTATTTGTACAATTGACATCTGAAATAGTGCAAGGATATTGCAATACATTTGATTCAATAACAATTACGAAAAAGGGGAAGATAACGAAAATAGATCTATAAAAAATCTATAAAAACAATACAATTGTGTGAAGAGGGCATATTTTATGGAATACAATGTAAATACACCATAAAAGTGCTTCAGAAATAAGAAAATAAATCTACATCTCGAATTTTAGTTTACATGCTGAGTGTTGACAACACAGACGCAGACATACTCACCATTTATATGTTTTTTCTCTGTTATATTGAGCGCACAATTATATCCAATTTTTTCCACTTTGTTATTTTTCACTATATGACATCCGGTATCAAATAAACTTTGAATGTCAGGTATATGCATCCCGTAGTAAGTCACATTCTGAATGAAATGGTTGTTGGAGAATCTGCAAATACATTTACTCCCCGTGTCGTTTGAAAACCATATGCTTCCAATTTTTTCATTTTGTAGATGTACAATTCCAACGTAGGTTCCTTATATAAAAAATACAAACAAAAAGCCGCTATAAAGCCATATTAATTACCGAGGAGCAGGCCAGATTGTGTTTTTACCATTTATTTATTATAAGAAGAAAGGAGGCATTGACCTATAATAACAAAGTACATAATAAGTCAAAATCTATAATTGACATGAGAATATTTTATAGTTTTATTATATATTTATTTCAAACTATTTTAAAGTTTTTACCTTATACATTTATCTTACTGCATTTTAGACCGCAATATTAAGTGTTCTAACATAAACCAGATTTTGTGTGCCATTTGCTCTGTCACATTGTTGTCTGCTCAGTCATTTTTGCATATTCTGTTTGTCAGTGAGTTTATCACATGTTAATCTTCAACAGAATCCATACAGTTTGGTACCGATTTTTTTTGGATTACGGAAGTGATTATATACAAAATGAATCTCTTAGAATTTCAGCGAGAAAATTTCAAATATCGAAATGCAGGAATAGCTATTTATTGTCGACTACCGTGTCTGAATCACCGCTGTTGTTGTAAAGTCACACTGAGATAATTTACTTCAGGTACATCTACAGATGCAAATGACTTTTGTGAGCTGTGACTTTATTTCAAATGTGAGGATTTCAATACACAGCTATTAGAAATCCATTGACAGTTAAATACTAGCATTAAAAGATTTTTTTAATTAAGGAATGAATTTAATGGCTACCCAGTTTACGCTTTTTTATATACCGCGAAGCGGTTTATAAAGCGTAAACTGCCCCAACCCACTTTATACCGTATAAATTGGGTAGCTATTAATTTCATTCCTTATAATTTAATTTTCATTCATTTAGTTTAAGAAAAAAAGATGTTTTCTCTTAAAAAATGACTTCAAATTGTACAAAATTTAAATGTAACGTCAGGCGGACCGATACGTCTCTGACGCAAGTCATTGTGACGTAGGCAACCCAATTTTTACGATATAAAGTAAATTTTTTATCCAATCAAATTGTGCGTTACAATCAGAATTAAATTATTCTAAAATGTCTCGACATTTTTAACATTGCACTGTTTATCATATATTATATCAAATATATAGCACATGTAAGAAATATACTATGCGGTGTAAGTTTACCAACAAAGTGATGCAACTTGAATACAATAGCTGTCCTGTTGATTTATAATGTAAAATTTAGTCAGAGCGCAATCTCACGTAATTTGTTTATTTACGGAATTGGGTTTACAGATATCCGACCTACCTGTCTCAACCTATTTGCAGGACCCGCTTCAAGTGGAATTATCTCATTTGAGTAATATATCCAAAAGTAAATATTGTCCGCTTTACCTAACATGTCTGTTCCATTAATAATAAAACAACAATATTATAAACAGCCGACGCCCAGACACACAGTCATTTAAAGTGACAGTACGGCGCATCTCATCAAAAACTGACTTGATAAAATTTTCCGACAAGATTTGGCATTTTTTTACTACTCATAAATGTATAAACTTTCAGAAAATTACAACTTTTACAATTAATTAATTTGGATTACTTCATTAAAATTAATAGTTATTTATGGGACGTAAATATATACATCGCAACGTGTTCGGGGTTCCACATTCCATGCTATGCACGCATGCGTAGTTTTCATAAACAAAACAGCATGGTTAGAGAGGGAATCCCGGTAGGCCTGCTACATTGACAAAGTCGACTAAAAATAAAAAGAAACTGAAATAGAACTTGAAAAAGCAACTTTCCTGACTAAAATTTAGTTTGGGGATTAATATAATCGCTGGATAAGGAAGAAACGGGAACTCGGCGACACTCAAGCAGGGGTCTCGAAGGTTCTACTCGACAGGTTTGTTGATACTTGTTATCATTTCTCATTTTTCCGTCGCTTTCAAAGAAAAAAAAAATAGTGTAAACTCAACATAAAAAATACATCTTTGACTTATAAACATTGTTGCTGTTTGAAATGCAAATTTTTTTTAATTCTGCAGAAAAATATTTTGTTTGACATTTGCCGCGATAACGTATGATTAGTTGGTTTTTCCTTTCTCGGACCCCAATACACAAAACGTCAACATTTGTACTTTTAATTCTGTTAAATTCGCCTGAATGCAGACTAAAATCTTTACGATTATTATTTTAGATTATTTTATCAGAAAGTTATGATAATTTGTGTTTTTGAAAATTGCTTTCACCTAATATTCATTATAACTGTAAACTCTATAGTGTAGGCACGTGCCGTTTTGGAATTCACGTGGTACAAATAAACAGATCTAAGATTGCTCCAGTTCGTACGACCCTTGATTTTCCGGCAGATTCTAATTACGTTAATTTTGTTTGAGTAGAGAATATTTCTGTTTCTCAAACTGCTTACATCAACTTTATACCTTATTTCTTAATGACATATTGGGTAAATTTGGATGAAAAAGCACACATTTTGCAGCCGTACTGTCGCTTTAAGAAAACGTAAACATCAAATTGTTCTCTTTACTTAAAAATCATAAATATAAGCTATATATCCCTTCTTCTTACCAATCCTCAAGTATGAAGAAGATACGAAAATAATAGTAATAATAATAATTAAAATAAATAAGCAATAGAAAAACAAACCCCCCATCCCCACCCTCCAAGGAAAAAAAAAAACTTTATTCCCATCCAAGAAGAAGAAAAAGCAAATTTCCCTTTTGAAAGCGGATAAATAAATAAAATTGAATCGATAAATAATTTATAAATATATAACTGTACAGCAAATTAACATCGTATCCAACAGAATAACTCGTCTGTTTATTTTTAAATAAATTGCGGATGATATGATTCTATTCTTTATTTCTATATGAGAATATTCTTAGGAAAATATATCTTACGGATGAGCTAAATTAATTAATTCACAATTTAATCAATACTTTATGTCCCCTCAACTTGGCATATTTTTCTAGCTCTTCGGTGACAAAACTTCGTATAATTTTTAAAAATATTGTTCAATAATGTATTGTTCAAAGTCTATAGCTTTATTTCAATTAACTAATCATCCATCCATTTTATGAAAGATTCTGCATGATTTGTAAAATTCTAATGCATCATATGTATTTATGTACTCCTTTTTTAATAACTTGATGATGAAAGTTGGATGTAATGAAATACATTACCTGGAAGGATTCCATCTTTGTTTCCGTCTACTTTATAACACTCCTGAGAATTACTCAGTACTGTATACACTGGAAACACAAATAACGATTCATAATTTGTTCTTCATTATTTCAAAGCATTCTAAAAATATAGGAACTCCTAGAATCACCTACCATTTATAGAAGAGAAGGGAATCAGAAGGCAAATGTAGAAATGTATGTGAGCCATTGTCATTCCTATCACTGATAACAGAAAATCATTTTCAGTGCAACAGAAAGCTTTTCCTACCTGTTGGAATGTTTGTCTCCCCATGTTTGGATACCAAACCTCGCCGATCAATCCACGGGCCCGGCTCTGCTGATAAACCTCACTTGTCAAACGGAAACAAATCTCTTCAGACTCATTCTGTCCATGAATATTTCCTTATCTGACATCGGACTGAAACTATAGCATCTTATTGACTTGAAAAAAATTCTCCCTCTTTGTCTTAATTTGGAGAGATTTGGTGGATTCTTGCGAGTCAAAACAATTTATCTCTTAAAATTGAAACAACACACGTCTTAATGTTTGATGTAACTATATGTTACAGAAAGTACGTGTAATCGGTAATTTCGTACAAATTCCTTAATTTTTGAAAATGAAATTCCTACTCTGCTTAGGAAATACGTAAATTTATTGTAATCAGGATATACATGTATGTACTGAAATTTTCAAAACTTTTACACGTATTTTGATGAGATAATTCAAACTATGAACCATAAATTTTGATGTACAGTAATTAAAAGAATCTGTCTGTAATTATTGAGAATTATCTTATAAAAAGTGGAAAGTGCAAAAATCACAAAATTAATCTGAATAAAACTTTCCCAATTTTGTATAGTAATAAAAAAGTTAAAATTACAAGAATCATGCTGTGTGTTTCCATGGCCACAGATAATGCATGGAATGTTGTATTTTTAACGTATTCACATATATGAGAAAATATACAATATCTAAACAATATCCAAACAATTAACTGTGGTAGGAAATTGAATGAAGCACATTGTTTATTCTAGAGAGTTGGCATCAAGGGAGGTAATCGTTTTTTTAAACCAGGAACAATTGTTGATCTTTTTGGATTTTACAAAAGGGGGACTAATTGATGAACTGTTGGTCTGTTGTTTTTTTTTAATTTTGTCTGAAAAGAAACTAAGAAGAAAAGAAGACTGAAATTGAAGAAAGTACATTGTTTATCATATTTATCTTTCAAAAATACATATATCCCTGCTTATTGGGATTTTTGTGTCATTAAAGTACTTAAAAAGGAGCAATTATACCTTCTTTTCAAACGGTATATTTTCTGAGGTGCAATAGGGTAGACATTTATTCTTCGTTTCATTTTTAGACAGATGTGTCTTCTACAAATATATATATATATATATATATATATATATATATATATATATATATATATATATATATATATATATATAAAATAAAAACAGTTAATCAATCCACCCCCCCCCCTATTTTTTTGGTAAAAAACAAAAACGATCAACACTTGTTCCTGGTATTTTAAAAAAAAAACTACTACCTCCCTTGATGCGAACTCTCTAGAATTAAAAGAAGAAATGAATGACAGTACTACAAACGGTCGAACCTTCATAATGGTCATCTGATCAAGGCAATGATTTAACAGATGATTTAAAAGGTAATGTAGACACTTGCCTATTCATCCTGTAATTTTTTTTGTTTGTTTTTGTGTTGTTTCACGTCCCTCTCGAGAATTTTTCACTCAAATGGAGACGCCACCACTAGCCGGTGGAGAGCTGCAAATTTTGACCTATGCTCGGCACTTACGGCCATTGAGCAGTGAGGGATCTTTTTTGTGCCAGCATCTAGTGCAAAACGGGACCTCGGTTTAAACGGTCTCATCCGAACGTGGTCTCGAATACTGTGACTAGGTTACCTAGTAAACTACTGGAGGACTTCCCCTCTCTAAATGAAGAACGGTTCCAGTCATCACATTAAACAATCCATCTGCTATATTTTTTATCAGAATTACTTTTGCTTATTCTTTCAGTAGCAGGTTTTTGGGAGCAACACATTCAAGTAATCTTCTGACATCCCCCGAAATTGTACAAGTTAGTGTTAATATGTATAGATCACATTGGGTCTCAGCTTGTTGTAAAAATTTCACACGTTTTAATCATGTCTCTTGAAAAATATTAAAATGTGATCAAATGGGCCATCTGAGTCATAACGACCCTAAATCACACCTCCCAACCTTATCAATATTCAGGGTCATGAACCCAAGGGAGCATTCATTGCAACAGATAATTATTTCCACAAAGAGAGACAACTCAAGAATTTTTTAATGGTATAGTCAATTTCTTTTATCAATTTAGATCCATCAAGTCTGAAATTTGTAAAGTGTTATTAATTGTAAAAAAAAAAAAAAGAAAAAAAGAAAAAAGGAAAGAAATTATTATGGTTTCATATCCTTTATTTAATTAATCAGGATCACATCCAATCGATGTTTATGTTGAGTTAGTATAAACATAACAACAACACAGTCTATCTAATTTCACTATACATGAATGTGTAACTTAATTTCCATTTAATAAATATCCTTATTTTCAAGTATACAGTATTTGATTTCACATGTATCTGGTAGATGTAAATATTTCTGGAAGGTATCTACCTACAAAATTACATTCAATTAATATTTGGTTAAAGTTAAATTATTTAACAAAAAATGTACATACAGGTATGTACAAAATTTATAACTCAGGACTCGTATATAAAAAAAAAATGGCAATGTGAACAAACATCATGTATTCATTTTTATTTACAAGAAATGAACTCCTACAGGTTGACAGACAATGGAATGTTGTACAACAAATGAAGTTGTTAATTACAGAGCATATGTTATAATAAAAATTAAATTGTTTAACTATGAAGAATAAATTTTTAAATAATATCTAGATATCCTTCACAAGCTCCCTAAATTTTAAACAACTTATAATAAACAAAACTAAATACATGTACATGTACCTACTGAATTCTAGTTTTTTGTTTTCCTTCCTATTTAAACAGATTCAAGTTCCATTTTTTTTTAAATAATATTAAAACCTAAATAAAAGCCACTGAAAGACTAACATTGTGTTTCTTTCTTTTACTGATAATCTGTTTTAAAATACATGTGTAATTAAAATACGTAATACATGTATATTAGACATGCAGTACCAGAGAGAGATAGTTATAGCCCCCTACTTTTTTCTAAACATATTCTACTACTGTTTTATAATTGAATAAAATATGAAGACAGAAGTTTTATGTTACATAATATTTTGTAAACTATGGACTCTCTGAATAGGCAAATTCTTCTTTTCTTAGGAAGGGATCCTCAAATGATGTTTGGACACTTCTTAAGAATAGAAAAGATTCATCCCAATCCTCATGAATTCAGCAATCATTTGTTACATTGCCTGGAAAATATAAATGCAATAATATATAAGATTGCTTTATTTATAATGCATCATCCATTAATTTGAATCAATATAATACAGTCAAGCCTTATTATCTTGAACTCAATGGGACCGATGAAAAACTTTGAGATATTCAAGGGGTTGAGAGCTTGAGGGTAACATACAAAGAAGACAAATGTGGTTCAAGGGACTTCAAAATGACTTTGACATCTCCATAGTGATCAAGATATCACTCAGTGTTCGAGATACCAAAGTTGAACCCTAAACTGAGTATTAAAAAAAATCATATTATCATATTAGTAACAGCGTGCCCCTTTGTTAGATCAAGCACGCTTAAGTTTCATATGTTGAACACCATATTTCTCATTGACTGGATGTTAAATTTCATTGAAATGAATACTACTTTGCATATGAAATAGAGAATCCAGCAACACACTGATAATACTGAGCAGTCGCATTGAATGATTGTTTACAATGACAGCATTTGTAATAAGCAACAACACATGGTCAGTCAAAACCATTGTCGGCTTCTCTGTTCATGTGCAAAATAGTATTTCTTATTATTGAAATTAAATGTCAAATCAATGAAAAATATGGTGATCAACATGGGAAACTGCATGCTTTATCAAACAAAGTTACATGCTGTTATTGGAATAGTAGTATATGCCATATATAGATGCAAAATCAATTTATTATTATCCAGTTAAAGTATTTCATTGAGGGAGTTAGCAAGATTCCAGTTCCCCAAGGCCAGGACTACTTCCCACGGCGAAGCCGAGGGAAATAGTCCTAGTCGAGGGGAACTGGAATTTTGCTAACTCCCTCAATGATATACTTTTAACTGTTTTATTATACCGATACAAACGTAAAATTTAGAGGATTCAGATAGCGTGATTTCAAAGCAGGGATTAGCTCACTGAACTAACACATGGGATTAGTCCATTCACATATACCAATGTTAAAGTAAAACCTAGATGATTATGGATAACCGGGAATTAGCTTTCGAAGCAGGGATTAGCTCACTTGACTAACACTTGGGGATTAGTCCATAGTCTATTCTTAACAATTTCTATGGAAATAGTCACATCTAACGATCTAATGTTATACAGGGAAAAAATCAGTAGAGGTATAATAATGTTCATAAATAATATGCATGAGAAAAAGATTTGTACAAAATAAACCAATTAAATATAAATAAATCATATGCATTTCCAAGTGTTAGCAAATCATTTATCTAGGTAATAATGATGAATGTCAACATACCCCAGGTAGTCGAAATTGTTTGATTTTAAGATACTGAAGTTTAGCTGTACTTAATTAGACTGCACTATATTCAAATGTTTCTCAACAACACACATTTTTCACGTGTTGTAATGATAGGAGTTAAGCCCCTTTTCTATGCCCCAAAATATTGTTTTCCTTTCTCTGATATTTGTAGATATTTTAACCACATACAGTTTGTGAGCTCTGTTGATTATTCATAACCAGCTATTTTAAGTTGCAACTAGTTTGATGTTTAAAGATTAATTGAAAGACAGAAAGATAAAAAACAAACTTAAGTCTCCTTAAAATTGGAAATAAAATTATGAAAACTTATTTTAGCCCCCTCTTAGCCTAAGATCCATGAAATGAACAAAAAGGATTTTCCAATATTTACATAAGATCCCCCCCCCCTCCTTAACTATTTCCAGATAAATATTTTACCCCTAATTATGGCCCATCCTTAACCCTGGATTATGGGATTCTTTACTAAGATGAATTTATTCATGCATAATAATATGATTTATGGTGGGCCTGACTTTTAAAAGGCTTTTACCCTAAATATTTCAGAATAAACTTTGATTCCCCACTGTGGCCCTACACTACCCACAGGGAATATGGTTCGAAAAAATCTGAATCTGCTCTGCACTATCTCAGAGGATGCTAGCAAGATAATATGAGTATAATGACTTATCATGACCTGTCTGTTCTTAACAAGAATTAAGACTTTAACAAGAGGCCCATGTGTTCACCTGAGCACATCGGCTAGGAAAAAGCACAAATCAGTTCAGTATTGAAAAGTTTACAGGGGGGGGGGGATTTTATACTACTAAACTACTTGAGGTTGCCTCAATATCCATATAGCATATAACTTTGCTGTTCTTGAGAAGAAAATTTTAAAAGATTTTTCTATATATTTTTATGTAAAATTTGATTGGCCATTATGACCCCACCTTATTCCGAGGGGTCATGATTTGAACAAACTTGAATCTACACTACCTTGACTAACACTTGGGGATGCATGCTTCCATATACATATCACCAATCATGGCTTTACTGTTCATGAGAAGATGATTTTTAAGAATTTTTCCTATATATTTCTATGTAAAACTTTGACTGGCTTTATTATGGCCCCACCCTACCCCCTGGGGTTATGATTTGAACAAATCTGAATCTACACTACCTGAGGATGCTTCCATATGAAAATCATCAATCATGGCTATGCTGTTCTTGAGAAGAAGATTTTTTAGAATTTTTCCTATATATTTCTATGTAAAACTTTGATCGGTTATTATGGCCCCACCCTACCCCTGGGGATTTGAACAAACCTGAATCTACATTTTGTCAAGCAGCTTTCACTTAAATTTAATTTTTTTTTTTTCTAGCCCTCCGGTTCTTGAGAAGAAGATTTTTAAATACAGCCAATTTTCACTATTTCTTAGTTATCTCCCCTTGAAAGAGGGTGTGGCCCTTCATTTGAACAAACTTGAATCCCCTTTACCCAAGGATAATCTGTGCCAAGTTTGTTTGAAATTGGCCCAGTGGTTCTTGAGAAGAAGATGAAAATGTGAAAAGTTTACAATGACAACAACGACAGACAACAGACAAATTTTCATCAGAAAAGCTACCTTGAGCCACAGGGACTTGAGACAATCTTAGCAAAATCGGGTATATAGCTATAGTATAATAGGGGAGCCCTTTTATACTATATACCCGATTTTGCTAAGATTGTCTCAAGTCCCTATGCCTTGAGCCTTCGACTCAGTTGAGCTAAAAAAAATTTTCATTTTGTTTTTTTCTGACTGGCAAAATTACAATTGTTCTTTCTATTTAATTGCTATAATCTATTTACATCAATAACATATCATCACCACTTATAAACATACCTTCTCTTTGGACCTAACCTCCTTTGTTATTCTCATGGTTGATGCTTGCATCAGATAAATTGTTCTGTTACAGCTGAAATACAAATATGAATATTACATTAATACAATCCTCTTAACTTAATTTGTACAAATAAAATATATATGCATGTATTTGCAGTTAGATCACCAAGAGAACTGCATGAATGAACAATACTGACAAATTGCATTGCACTACTTGCAAATCAAACAAATACATGTATGTAAATCATTTTAAGTGTGCAGAATATGCTGAATCATGTATTGGTATAATTTGCAGTTCAAAAAAAATTGTTTGCATAAACATACAGCCAAGTGTGTTTTACAGTTTATTTCTATTTTTAAAAAATCTCATTTAATGGTAAATTTCTCTGCATATAAACTCACTGCAATGCAGCATGATGTGATTAACCTTTGTGCATTTTTTGACCCATTCTGTATTACCGAGGTATCTGCTGAAAGAGAAAAAAAAACAGAATGTGAATAAATCATTTGAACAAAGTTAAAAAAGTAACGGATGCATGATTTTCAATTATCAAAAGCCCTCCCTCTCTCTATCTCTCTGTCTGACAAATTATCCACAGGATTTTTTTACATAGATACACATGTATAACAGATATTGGTGCATCTGAGCAAAATTAAAATATCCTTTCTTTGTTTCTTCCAATCAGGCATAATAACTAAATACATGTAATAATGTCACATATAATATGTTATAAAATTATCCTTACAATGCTCACAATAGGCAAATCTTGAACTTTCATGTCATCACTGTCTTCAGAATATCCTGCAAGAAACGTACATTCCAAATAATAATTTGATTAGATTTATTTATTTTTATACATGTATTTGGTATTTTTTAGAATGAAATTCTCATTTATGATTTATGTGCATTACAGCACCATGCACATGGAAGTTCATTTTCAAATTCAACCAACATGTCATTCTTAAAAAATCAAAAAAGATAAATCTGTAAAGCCCATTTATTTTTTTTTAATGAAATAAAATTATTTTCTTGTGTGTGTAATTTGTGTGGGATCATCACTGGTGCGGATGGACATATCATTAAAAAAAAACATACAAAAAAAAGCACAGATTGTTGCAAAACCAACTTACTGAATTATAATAAGTTACAAATTTACAATGAAGGGCTCGAAATAATTAATGGCCTACTGGGCTGGGGCCAATTAATGTATTTTTAATTTAGGCTAGTGCATTGTGAGGGCATGTGTCCATTGGGTCATTGTTTATTATGTATACATGTAACAAAATTCATTTATGGTTGGGATAGTAACTAAACTTGTCAGGCAAAGTTCTGTCTTTTCTTGTTTTGTTAAATTAAACTACAAAGTATCACAATATAAACAAAAAATGTATCACTATTATTTTCTTTATGGTTTTGGGCCAGTCTTTTTAAAATCTACTGGCCCTGTGGGACAGTTGAAGTACTCTGAGCTGACCAGGAAAAAATTTAAGGTGATAGCCCTAGAGTGACCAGTGAAAGAAAATAATTATTTTTAGCCCTGAAATGATGTCACATTTTTTATGCTACATAAATAACATAATATAGATTTTCTAAATTTAATATTTTTTATATTTCTTCATGACTTTGTATTATTAATTGTGTTTTTTTTTCATACCGTTTTATGGAGAAGGCTGTTCAACATGTACTTAAACCTGAAATAGACAAAGCAAAAAATTAGTTACTTTTAATATTAACATATAACAATCAATTTACCATATGTAAATTAATTATATATTCTCTCAAACAAAAATGCAAAACATCACTGTAAATTGTGTTTACATTGACAGAGGTCTTAAATAAATTATTTCAATATTACAGATTGATGCCTGCAATGTTACTGTATATTATTTATACTATTTCATTTGTTAGTTTGGGATGGACAATTTTTTATAAGAAAAAAAAAATCCACTAACTTAAAGTACATTGTATTCATAGTTGAAAGTAGTAAACATGCAAGAAATGTTCCAGGATATCATAAACTGCATATGTAAAGTTTGGGTATATTAAATTAATATTCATGTCTGTAAAGTCTGATATGTGTGAGAACTGCATGGCTGCGTCTGTTCTCCCTAGCTAGCTTAATTAATCTCACCTTTTGCTTGACCCACTGTATTATATGTATATATGTTTTATATGTTTATGTACCTCATGTAACCATTTACATGGTTTTTGAGTGAATAAATTGAATTGAATTGAATTGCATCATCTGATCATAAATTCTGTGATAAATAAGAGAAGTAGCAAACATTTTCTTATCATTAGGTTCTATTGAAAACAGCATAATTGGTATAAATAACTGACAATATTAAAAGTGCAAAATGTAAACAAATGTAAACACCTTTACATATGTAGAGGAAATTCGGCAGAGCTTGTGTGCATGTACTATGATATGGATAGAATTAAATTTTAGTCTCTTGGTGTTAAAAAAGACACAAGGTTCTCACAGATCACTGGGCAATCTCTGAATACACATAGCTTGTGTAGGAACGGACTATAGCACACCTACATTTTCTCTTCATTTCAAAACATGCTTTTACAGCATTTTACAAACTTGCCCTTAAATATTTAGCCATTTTGTGCTACAGGTAATCGAAAAAATAAATCGACTTCTACTTACGAGTGCTTTTGTTTCCTAAACCAGTGTATGTGTGTTCATCTTTACCGACACAACTACTCCCTTGCACGTGGAAAAATGTTTACAAAATCGAGAGGTGCAGTTTTGACACTTTCATGTACAATAGCACGTGACAGAACGAGAAACTTCATACATACTTTCACTTTTCATGTAAAGAAACGTTTGTTTTTCAACTTTATGCAATTTAAAAACCTTGCAAATCGAGAAAATATAAAGTTTTACCTCTTTTTTCAAGTTGAATATTTCTCTCGATTTTCACCTCTCGCGTGTTGGTCTCATCTAATTCTCGAGAGTTCTCGCAATGAAAGCTGTTCGGACGTTTACGGATTTTGTTAATATTTTATGACGTTTATCTTCGAAAAGTTCCGATTTATGCAAATAAGGTTAGGAGGTGTGTAAATGCTTGAGAATTTTTTTTTTTAAAAATTTCACTCTTAATTCTTATAATATTTTTTACGCTGTGGCCCCACCTTAAACACTGCATGGGACATTTTGATCAAATATGAATCTGTATTAACCAAGGACGCTTTCATATTCATATGACTAAATATTTTTTACGAATCTCGAGATTTGTAAATGAACCCAAAACGTTTTTGTTGATTTAGTATAATACATGTATCTGTGCTTAAAGTGACAGTACGGCGCATCTCATCAAAAAACTGACTTGATAAAATTTTCCTACAAGATTTGGATTTTTTTACTACTTATAAATATATAAACTTTCAGAAAATTACAACTTTCACAATTAAATAATTTTGATTATTTCATTAAAATTAATAGTTATTTATGGGACGTAAATATATACATCGCAACGTGTTCGGGGTTCCACATTCCATGCCATGCACGCATGCGTAGTTTTCATAAACAAAACAGCATGGTAAGAGAGGGAAGCCCGGTAGGACTGCTACATTGACAAAGTCGACCAAAAAGAAAAAGAAAACTGAAAATAGAGCTTGAAAAAGCAACTTTCCTGACTAAAATTTAGTTTGGGGATTAATATAATCGTTGGATAAGGAAGATACGGGAACTCGGCGACACTCACGCAGGGCTCGCGAAGGTTCTACTCGACAGGTTTGTTGCTACTTGTTATCATTTCTCATTTTTCCATCGCTTTCAAAGGAAAAAAAATAGTGTAAACTCAGCATAAAAATACACCTATGACTTGTAAACATTGTTGCAATTTGAAGTGCAATTTGAAGTGCTAATTTTTTTAACTGTGCAGAAATATATTTTGTTTGACATTTGCCGCGATAACTTATGACTTGGTGGTTTTTCCTTTCTCGGACCCCAATACACAAAACGTCAACATTTGTACTTTTAATTCTTTTAAATTCGCCTGAAAGCAGACTAAAATCTCTCCGATTATTATTTTAGATTTTTTCATCAAAAAGTTATGATAATTTGCATTTGACTATTGCTTTTACCTCATATTCATTATAATTGTAAACTGTTTTAGAATTCACGTGGTACAAATAAACAGATCTAAGATTGTTCCAGTTCGTACGACCCTTGATTTTCCGGAAGATTCTAATTACGTTAATTTTGTGTGAGGAGAGAATATTTTTGTTTCTCAAACTGCTTACATCAACTTTATACTTTATTTCTTAATGATGTATTGTGTAAATTTGAATGAAAAAGCACACGTTTTGCAGCCGTACTGTCGCTTTAAAGAGGGCAAGCTCTTTAATTTAACAAACTGGATTGCTCTTACACAAAAATTCTTTGTAGCAAGGTTGGTGGAAATAGGTCAACTAATTTTGGAGAAGTCAAAAATGTTAAATATGTGTTCAGTCTATAACAGACAAAACAAGACATATAGACGTCGGACACCCTTCAATCAGAAACCTCACTTGGAGGATTTGGCTGATGTTACATGTGCAGGCTTGTATTAAGGAAATCATCAAGAGAATTGCATGATAAAAATTTAATATGCTGTGGCCTTGCTTAATACCATTATTTATGGTCTCGAAGGAAAACATTTCTCCATCCATCTTTTCCAGCATATCCTGGATTACTACACAAGTATCAAAATTTTTCCATACAATCTTTTTTTTTTAACATTTATTTCCCAGATCTTTAACGTTAAAGATGATATATATAATAGGGCAGCTACCAGGGATGGGGCCCTGACTAAGCTCCCTCTATAACAATATATAATAGTTATCCCTACAGCACCACGCAGGTTGCTTTATATCTAAATATCTACATCTAAATACAATGTCTCTATAACAATATATAATAGTAATCCCTAAAGCACCACGCAGGGTGCTTTATATCTAAATATCTAATACAATGTCTCACATAATTTATTCATATCGTACATTCAATATTATATGTATTAATTAAATTGTAAAACATATAACAACAAAGAAGATATATCCGGATTCAATTTTGGTTCTAATTTTCTTGTTCGTATTTGCAATCCGGTGCGATTCATAAATGTGTTGCAATATAATGAATAAATGGGAAAAATACATTTAATTTAAAGTTAATTTAAATCTGGACTGTGGAAAACAGGTAACAGTTCTTCGAATTCTGTTAATACAGTTAATGATTGATTGATTGTATGTTGTTTTACGTCCCATTCGAGAATTTTTCACTCATATAGAGACGTCACCATATACCGGTGAAGGGCTTCAAATTTTGACCTTTACTCGGCACTCAGGGCCATTGAGCAGTGAGGGATCTTTATCGTGCCAACACCTGTCGTGACACGGAGCCTCGGTTTTTAAGGTCTCATCCGAAGGACCCGCAACTTTCACTTCAAAGTGCCGAGCGCATAGCGAAGGAACAGTTGCTACCTATTTTTTATCGACTTAGGTCTGTCGCGGCCGAGATTCGAACTCACGACCTCCCGATCACAGAGCGCTCTACCGACTTAGCTACCGTGAACGGTAATACAGTTAATGTTAAATTCATATCTCCCTTAAAATTGCGTTTATCATTTTTTAACAATTGAAAAAATTAATTTCATTTCTTTCGTGAATGCTTTTTGGAGCAATGAGGTAGTTATTTTTTATTTTCATACTTGATATTGTTTCTTGTTTTCCATATTGACCACTTATATATATAAATCAAAGTGTTAACACAAATTCGAACATTTTTGGGTTCACTGGTAAATCCCAGTAGAACAGTATATGCATCAAATTTGATTGAATCCTTTACAGGTATTAGTAAAATTATTCTTTGTACCAATTCTAAAACTGGTTTGACGTGTTTACATTAAAAAAAAATAAATAAATAAATAAATGCTTCTGGCTCTCAATATTTGCTTTACAAAAAAGGCATTTGCCATTTGATAAACCCATTATACGTAGTTTTTCCTCGGTGTATAAGATGTTATGCAAACATTTCCATTGGAATTCTTAAATTTTTTGTTTTAATTTAGCTTCGTAAATTGACCCCCAAATTCTTTCCCATGTAATGTCAATTTGCAGCAAATTCTCCCATTTTTCTTGAGATTTGGGAGTAACATTTTTATTTAACACTCTTTGTAGGTCTTTGAGTTTTATATCATCAAAATTTATAAACTTATTTGTTTTCCTAACAATTAAGAAATGATCAAACAACACAAAATAGTTATTTATTTCTTTATCACTGGTATTTGCAGTATTTCTCCCTGCAAGAATATCAATATAATTTTTAGGTATGGCGGCATTTATCTTGTTATATTCAAAAACCCAACTTCTTTTATCAAGAAGTTTTGTAAATATGTATGCATTAGTCTTAAAAGACTTACTATCTTTATCCCAAATATCATCAATAGTGTGTAAGCCACATTTAATGAAAGACTCTATATATAGACTTTTACCTCGAAATTGTATATATTTATTTCCAAATATCTGGCACTTTAAAATTTCATCTTAGCTTTCTGGTTGAAAATTCGATCTGAATTCCTGTATGCTTATAATGCATTTTTATAAAATGTAGAAAGTTTATTTAGAGAAATGTTGGAAAGGTCAGAGCAGGTGCATAAAAAATATTCCTGTTTTGGATGTAAGTCTTTACTTTGTAACCAGAGTTTACCAATAGCATTCCAGTTTTCAAGTTCAGAGTGCATAATTTTGTATATTGTTTTAATTAGCTTACTTTTAATAAATGTAAATAAGTTAACCATGTCCAATCCTCCCTCAGCTTTACTGATGCAGCAAACATTCCTATCTACTTTCTTTTACTTTCTGATCCCATATATAAGACCAGATAATGTCATTTATCTTTTTACTATAAATATTTGGTATGCCTCTCATTTCAATTTCATATCCAATAATAGGAATTACTAAGTTTTTAATAATTAATGTTTTTCCTTTAAATTTATATTTGCTCCTGGTGCCTTTTCATATATTTCTAAAACTTTAAAGGATTCTTCTATAGATTCTTCATCTATCCTGATATCCTGGTTTACTACACAAGTATCAAAATTTGTCCATACAATCTTGTGATATCTTCAGGTGGTGCATCTAATGGCCAGTCCAAGCTTCTGAAAAACTAGATTGTCTCTTCGAGGGCCTTCCATCACATACAGTGTAATTTATTTACTGCTTTTATAAAGGGGGATTCACTCTTACAGAGAACCTAAAATACAATTTAAAACCTCAGTTATCTTAATTTTCATTTAGTTCATTTTATAACAATACATGCATTAATCCTTTGCTTTTAACTATATAGTCTTAGGTAACTTGTAAGAGTTTCTAACTAATATCTAAGCACAATGATGTAAGATTGCCTCAGTTGCATGAGGTTCATTTTACATTATTTGGTCCTTCTTCTCACCTCACCGATGGCTCGTTTCCTATGATACAAGTCGCTAAAGTGCGATGGTCCGACACGCCAAAGTCCGATGGTGCAGAGAAACAACGTTTATGACGTCACAATATTCCGACGTCAATCCTCGACGCCAAAGTCCGTAATTCAAAACCAATAATTTAGGATGACTCCTCGAATACAATTTGACTGATCTTACTTAATGTTTGCACTCACCTGTGTTATAAGGAGTAGTCCCTGCACACCACTTGGCTGATAAGGGTTAGTGATGGGTTGCACCCACCCAAGACATTAAGGGTTAATCCTTGTACACTATTTGATTGAATAGTTTTAGTCTCGCACCCCAAAAGAGGTTTGACGGATTAGAGTTAGTTTCTCTCCCATCCAGGATATGTAACAGACTTTTTGACCGATTAGGAGTAGCCTCGCACCCATCCAAGAGATTGGGGTTAGCCTCGCACACATCCGAAAGGTTAGGGTTAGCCTCGCACCCATCCGAGAGGTAAGGGTTAGCCTCGCAACCACTTAAGAAATTATGGCTAGTGGTACAATATATTTTTTGCGTTTTTTAGTGAACCC